ATAAACTAGTTAGTAAAAGTTACAATTTTTTGGCTATTGACAGAATTAACCCTCATTTAGAACTGTGGATATCAAATTCGAAACTCATACAAAAAAAAATGTAAATGTTATTTGTAGGCCCTAATTAGCTCAACCCAAATTAATTAATAGAGTATCTAGATTTACCTGCTAAAGTAAAAATGTAAATGTTTTTGTCTCCAGTGTCTTTGTCTCTGGAATTATTTGGTTATCAGCTCCAAAGCTCTGGGTTTATCATTTGTTAGAGCTTAACTGTAACTTAGGAATGTTATTGAAGAAGATAAATAATTTTCGCTGTTGCTCGTGGTATTGACTTGATCTTGATGATCCACTCGAATTCATTGCTTATATTGAAAAATGTATCATTGTGCGATTAGGTTTAGTTTGTTGAATTGGTGAAATTGTGAATGGCTTAATTCTGGAGGCTGTTGTGTTGTTTCTTTCAAAGACTTGAGCTTCATTTGAGTTTCTTTAGAGTATGAATTTCATTTGAGTTTCTTTAGAGTATGACTTGACTGATGGATTTGTATTAAACTACATTAGATTGTATGAGGAAATTCAAATGAAACAATGTCCAATTCGATACATGTATGGCTTCTCTGAATTTCGCAAACCAACCTTTTTTGGATCCATAGCTTTTCTCGAAACTCTTATACGTTTAACCAATCTGGTTTTCCTCATCAATGTGTTAGTTCTTTACGAGTTACGAATCAGGTTGTGAACAATTTTGAATATTTTACGAGTTACAAAACAAATCAAAACAAGTGCTTAAATACATATGTTTGTATACAAGACAAAAAAAAACACACGGCCAATTACACCCAGAGAAGGCAATATGTTTATCCAACAAGTACGCGAAAGACAATATCATGGCATGAGTTCCACATTAAGACTCTTGTTCCAACAACGGTGTGTATACAAGTGCTATTTCGACCACTCGACTCACTTACGACCCATGGTTTGTTCACCGGGTGGGATAACGACCACGGTGGACTGAGCATTGAAACCCGGGTGGGGAACCTTCCTGCGGAGCTCACGGCCTTCTTGGCAAAGGGCACATGTATGGCAAAGGACATGTGTCACAAAGTCACAAGTCGTCTCCATATGTTCCCTTTGCATCTCATCCTCTACGCAGCTACCGCAGCAACCACACGACCTGTTCATAGCCTCAAAGCTTCCCTGTTTTTACATAAAAAGAAAACGAAATATGCGGTCAGGAGATGCAATATGTCCTTAGATGCAAACTATGGAATCGAACACGTGAAAGTCAAATAAAAATCTAAGATCCCTAAATACTCAAAATGCGTGGAACAGAACCTAAGATCTCTTCTTAAGTCCCCACTCATCATCATCCAAGCAATCAAGAAGAGATATAAAGACAAGAGTTTGATCAATCTCTTCGTTAAAAGGACAAACTTTCCTCCCAAATGAAGGAAACAGAATCATTACCTCGAGGTTAAACTTCCGGCGAATAGCAGAACGGCTGGAATACGAGAACCATGGAGCAAGACAGTTCCAGCCAAACAAAGAATTACCGACAAAGTACAATCCTAAATACGTCAAGCAATGGTTCGAAAACGTTCCAGGAGCAGACCCAAGCCTTTCTGCATTAGTTCCATACAACACACAAGGAGCCACACTTCCAAGAAGACCTACAAAGAAACCATTATCTCATCACTAAGAGTTTCATTCATCAAGCCAAAGAAAGCAGCACATAACAAAAACATACACATTCACAAAATTTGATCCATGGGTATGTCAAAAGTTGAAAACTTAAACAAACATTCGTGACCTAAGCATCATCGCTAAAATCAATAAGATCTAAAGCTTCAATTTTCAAAACCCCCCACCAAACCCAGAAAACAGATTACAATCAGAAATTACCAAATCAAATCCGATTCAATCAACCAAATCTCGATCAAATCAACAGACCCATTCAAAATTCCTTCAATTTCAAAAACCAATCAGAGGAAGCAAACGCAATACTCACAAACTTCGAGATCGCTGCTGCAGAATTCGTCGTTTCGGCCGAGACAAGCAAAGAGACCGGAATTCCACTGGTTTCTTCCGATAGGCTCGCCGATCACGCTTCCATGGCTCACCGGCAATCCATCTGCCGTCCAGCCGTATCCCTCCGCCGCGTGAGGAGGCACAAACGACGCCGTCTTGGCGTCTCCTTTCGAACAGATCTTGTTGTCATTCTCTTGCAAGAGAGGACTCGATTCCTCATGGTCGTCGCCTCGTTGAGCTTCGTGGTTGTTTTCTCCCGCCATAATTTGGTAGAAAATTGATCCTCTGAAACAACGATGATGATTTCTCTTTGATCTAAAGGAAGAAGAAGGAAGAAGGGT